AAGAGTATTATCTAATGAGAGATGTCAAAATGCAGCTGCCACAACAACCGCAGATATATGTTATATACGAGAATGTTTTCATTTGAACCAGAAAAACGAATATTACCCTTTGTGAACTCAGTGCTTCCTGACGTATTTTAAGTACGCTTCGATCACTCGTTTTCGGTTCATGACTTAATCACGAAGAGTGAGTATGGTATCACGCCGCTTCTACCGACATTCAGCTGTATCACGGCGGGCGACACAAGAAATGGGCTTCACGCATTTCGCTTATGTGGGGACCCGAGTCTTCGGCGTGATGAGTGAACGCTTTAACCACAAGGATACCCGACCGCCCCTTATTACGTTTGTTTGTTGTTTAACGCCGCACTCAGCAATATTACAGCTATATATATCGACGGCGGTCTGTACATAATCGAGGATGGACCAGACAATCCAGTGATTGACATCATGAGCATGAGAGAGCATTCAAACATTATTTTTGCCGACTTAAAGGAATAGTAACGATTTTTTTTTACTCTTATTTACCTTTGGATTTATAGTGGAGCATGTCCCATCACACATTCCAACATTCCAATATACTAGTAGTCTCATATAACATAAGAAATAATTATTATTGTTATTATTTCACATATTAAAATAAATAGATGCAGCAAAGAGCGTTCGGGTGATCAAAGGCACAGTAAGGCTGGTGAGGCTCATGAGGCTCATGGTCAGCTCAGGAAGTCTTTCTTTGAGATGGGCATTCTGGAGTTTGTCCCCAACCTGCATCCCGAAGTACGTATAGGCCTGACCTTCAATGGTCAATAACTCCTTCCCCAAGTAAACTGACTGATCCTCCCTCTTCTTTTGTACGATTTTCATTGTACGGCGCTGCTCATATATTCAGTTAACTCTTGTATTCATACTCGTACACAGTCGACGGCACAAGGAGTATTATCTAATGAGAGCTGTCAAAATGCAGCTGCCACAACAACCGCAGATATATGTCTTTCTTTGATACTTCCTCTTCTTTTTTGCCACGTTTCAGATGAAGAATGTTGCATTTGTCGAGTCCAATGGACATGCCGATATCATTAGAAAAGAACTCGACAAGCAGAATCTGTTTTTTTAGTGTGAATCCTCCATTGGCAAAAAGTTCAAGGACATCCATGTAAAAGAGGTGAGTAAGGGGTGTTTAGGATCTGTGCTGAGGAGGTCCCGGATGATAATCTTCCTCTTTACTAAGCAAAAAGCTTAGAGGATGTATTGACAAACAGAAAAGCAAAGGGCTAAAAGAATCGCCCTGAAATATTCCTCTTCAAATAGAAATGCGTACCGAAGTCACTACCTGCCCCTGCGAATACATCTCAAGTTGAGTTGACCAGCAATGCATTAAAGACTTGAGTAAAACAAGTAGTCGCTCGGGGAGGTCAATACATTCCAGTGATCTCAAAATCCATTCGTGAGGTACAGAATCATAACCTTTTCTGTAGTCTATCCAACACATTGAGAGGTTGCGGTGGTAAGTTTTAGCCTCTTCAAGGATCATTTTCTGAACTAGCAGTTGATCCTTACAACCCCAACACCCCTTTCTGGCTCCGTTTTGCACCATTCAAATAATATCATTAGAAGCGTTGTATCATGACACAAGATCAGTAGGACACCCTGTAAATATTTTGTATTGTGTTTCAGACAAGTAATAGGGGAGGTTGTGGGGAATTATTAGTAGTATTAGTAGTAGTAGTAGTATTATTAGTATTATTATTCCATCCAACACCAAATAAATATTGTTCACACTTTAATCTATACAAACATACAACATAGTATCGCTCGAATTTAATCAAAGTGCCTCTTCGTATATTTGGACTTTTAACCAGGAAGAACTTGACCGTTTTACAACAGCTGCCAGTTGTGCGCACTGCTGCAATTACATCTACTTGTTCGTTTGTCAAATCTTCTGAAGAGCTGATCGTCCGTGCAGTGTTTGAAGGGTGTCCTCCCATTAGTTAGACGTCCCAATAGTTAGACAGCTTATAACAACACTTTAAACGGTTGAGTGCACACTAACCCTTATGCTTGTTACCTCAGACTTTAAAATGGAATAGTCGAGATAAGATCTGACAAACAAAGCAAAGCAGCTTTAAATAGATACTTTAATATTATACTTAACATTAAATGACACTTTACATTTGATAAATTATATACAGTTTGGTGAAATGATGGCATCGCTGGGATGCTGGCTTCATCTACTTGAGTGACTTGCTCCTCTAGAACAGAACAGAACTTTATTACGCTCAGGCCGAGATCCTCGGCATAGGAGGTACAAAATGACAGCAAAATACACATTATAATTGCGGATTGTGGTTAGCCGGAAGATTTTACAATTTGCATTACATATTTACAGAATTTACTAAGGTTTTTTAATACAGATATCTCTTTACAAGTGAAAAGTCTTTGCCATTTAATCATATTAGGTCTTTTAGAATATGTAGGTGGGATATACAAAATTCTTTCTTTAGTAAAATATGGACATTTAAAAATATAGTGAAATTCATCTCCAATATCATCAATAAAACACAGTTTACATTTTCTTTCACAAATAGGTATCCCATTCCATCTTCCTTTTTCAATTGGTAAGTGGTGGCATGAAGTACGAAATAAAAGTAGAGGGATAGCTTTATTTAGGGGTAGGGACGTCAGATAATTTTCTAATTCAAATTGTGGTTTCAAGAGAGAATAGACTACACTTTCCTCGTACAATGCCTGCATCTGTGTGGTTTCTTCTCGCGCTCTTTTACGAAGATTGCTTACAAAGTTCACTCTGGTTTCATCTTCAGGCGGATAGTTATGTTCCGACTGATTGCAAAGAAAGTCACCAACAGTCGTACATTTCCCATTGCACGTCTTGACGACACATCTCGAATGTGAGCAGGTTTGCCTCTCGCGGTTTCTGTTGTAAATATATCCATCTAATATCAACTGCTCACTTCCACGCCGAGAGGTGATGTACTCTACTTTCCTTAAACCATCCATATCGATACTGATAATGATACGTACCCCAAGATCATTTTTATTTGTTTGATGAGTACGTAATCTAAACTCCTTCAACTGATCATACAGTAAGACAATTAAGCTACTCCATAGTTTACACAGTTAATCTCATGCCTATTGAACCTGTGCTGAGAGTAAGGTAATTTAGGTTAATTAAACGAAATTATAACATTTATACTCCCTAAACTGTGAGTCCCCTATCCCTACTCAGTACTTTAATCTAATTAGGACTGATCCATTACACCTGTAGGTATATTCCCTCTTTGCCTAAATAGAAATGTCTAACAATTGGGACGTCTAACTAATGGGACGTCTAACTAATGGGATATAACCGTTCGAAGTAGATCTGTGCTGACTCACAAACTATTAAATAAATACGTATTTATATGTCCCTTTTGTCTCATTTACATTAACTTCATAATCAGGCTTTTTCCAAAGGATATATATATATATATATATATATATATTCTTATCAAATTTATATTATCGATTAAACGGTGATATGAATAAAGAGTGGAGACACTTTTATGTTTTGAGGAAAAGTAATTGGTTTGTTGGTTGGTTGGTTGGTTTGTTATTTAACGCCGCACTCAGCATTATTCCTGCTATATGACGGCGGTCTGTAAAATAATCGAGTCTTGACCAGACAATCCAGTGATTGACATCATGAGCATCGATCCACGCATTTAGGATGGATGACATGTATCAACCAAGTCAGCGAGCCTGACCACCCGATCCCGTTAGTCGCCTTTTACGACAAGCATAGTCGCCTTTTACGGCAGGTATTGGTTGCTGAAGACCTATTCTACCCCGGAATAAAAGTGAAACAATCGAATATGGACCATAAGAATTAGATACTGAAAGCATGACTCCATTCGTTGTATGATTTGGTTGGTTGGTTTTGTTGTTTACGCCGCACCCAGCAATATTACAGCTATATGAAGGCGGCCTGTATATAATCGAGTCTGGACCAGACAATCCAGTGATTGATATCATGAGCATCGATTCACGCAATTGACATCGATGACATGCATCAACCAAGTCAGCGAGCCTGACCACCCGATCCCGTTAGTCGCCTTTTACGACAAGCATAGTCACCTTTTACGGCAAGCATGGGTTGCTGAAGACCTATTCTACCCCGGAATCTTCACTGGTATCGTTGTATAACACGCAATCAGTGAAGTTAGAGATTCCGAAAATCCGATTCCAACGTAAGTCCGTTCTTAAGCAGCGGATATTCATATACGATAAATACTTAAGGATGCCATTCTCAATTGGGTCCATCGTTTCATATTAGTATAGGAAACGACTAAACTAGGAGGCCGCATAGCTGTGGAATATTAGGGATGAGCGCAATTGAACACCCAGTCTCATCTCTGATCTGATAACAGTCATTGTACATTGACAAGTATTGACGTTTCATTCTCAAATAAAAAGCGTCGGAATCCATTTCCAGATTAGAAATCTCTACTAAAAGCGGAGTCCATTGCACGATTGCGACTATATCATACGTAAGTATTATGAATCACTTTCAAAGAGTGATGATAATAGGTGTTCGCGAAAATACCAGCTTATCATGCACCACCGGAGTCTCCCGTCACAAACACAGGCAAATGCAAGTCAATTAACCACACTACAAAAACACAGGAACATGCGGTCAAAATAGGGAATTGCATCGGACATCATTTTTGTCACTAATACGTCGAATTTATGTCTGCCATAAAACCTTTTGAAAGCTTTGCTGAGGCTGGATCCAACATTTTTTAGTAAGAGTCTCATGACGCTCTTTCAAATTTTCGCAGAAAGAACATGCATTACTGTCCCAAACGGTTGTGAAATGTCGACATCAAAGGATGAAGCTAGTGGATTCTTTCGCACGTATACTAACGGTATGTCGACACTAACGATGTGTCATGTCAAGTAAAGAAATCTTATCTTCTCAGACATGTTGAAAAAAAACTCAAATGTAATGTTTGTGATATTTATTCACAAAAGGTTTCAAAAACAATTGTAAAAGCATCAAAAGTAGGCTTCTTTGAACAGAGACGAAACCCTTAACAGACACACTTTGGAGGATTGATACTGGCTGATGGCATGAGTGAGGGTGCCTATAGGGTCGACCACAGAAACTGTTCAGACAATGGTTGCTTCAATAATGTATGATCCTTCTTCGTGTCTAGTGTAGCAGGGATTTCATATCCAGCACATAAGACCTGTAATTTCCACCCCTGTAGACCAGACAAAGTCGTACATGTATGTAATGATTGAAAGCAATATCAAATGACTGAAAATAGCATGGCTATTTTCGAAGACCATCAGGTACACATAATATATAATATGAAATGGAATATAAACAAAATTATGTACGTGTTGACCACCAAATGATAACAGACGAACTGCTTCTATATATGCACAGCTTGAAGACGTGCAGTGTCCAGTGCAGACTGAGAATATATTCACCATTATACTTGATTAAGACGCATATTTAAGCCTATAGTTTGAATATGACAGACAGGGAATAAGGGAATAATTTCATCTCAAAAGAGCTCTAATTTCCTGTATTCTTCACAGGGAAGATATAATTCTGACTGTTCCACCTGCATGATTATGTGACATGTTTCTGGCGGATTATTTTCCATCTGATGGCCACAAACATGATGATTCCTACAAATACAATAACCCCTGCTGCAGCCAAGCCTCCAGCAAGTCCAATCCAGCTTAAATCTTCCTCTTCCTCTTCCTCTTCCTCCTCTTCAACCACTTTCAGTGCAATGCTACATGTTTGTTCGGTCAGGCTGACCCGGACAAAGTTTGATAATTCTGACGGAAGGTTTTCTTTGTCGTACGATTGTACTGCAAAAACGAATATTTCTCGTGACTCATTTCTGCTCAAGCTGACAGCCATACGTTGCTCTTTCCCAGCGGGAAGCGGAAGAATAGAACCGTTGGTCATTTCATCTCTTGTGACAAGACGCCTGTTGCTGTAGTTTGTCTTCATGTCGAATATGGTTTCTCCAACTAGCATCTCATAACGGCTGACTGAAAGAGTGATGATTGCGTAAAGTACATTGGCTAATGTAAGAAATGTAAAGGTTTAAGGACAGATTTGGTATTACTAATATGAAACGATGGACCCAACTGAGAATGGCATCCTTAAGTATTTATCGTATATGAATATCCGCTGCTTAAGAACGGACTTACGTATACGTTGGAATCGGATTTTCGGAATCTCTAACTTCACTGATTGCGTGTTATACAACGATACCAGTGAAGATTCCGGGGTAGAATAGGTCTTCAGCAACCCATGCTTGCCGTAAAAGGTGACTATGCTTGCCGTAAAAGGCGACTAACGGGATCGGGTCGTCTGGCTCGCTGACTTGGTTGATGCATGTCATCGATCCCAATTGCGTGGATCCATGCTCATGATATCAACCACTGGATTGTCTGGTCAAGACTCGATTATTTACAGACCGCCGTCATATAGCTGGAATATTGCTGAGTGCGGCGTTAACCATCAAACCAACCAACCAACCAATCATATCGAAATGTGTAAATACTGAAAATTTATAACTGTCTGGTCCCTTTAGAAACTCCGTCGATCTATGAGAGCAACGTTTTCTCATTAACTGTAATAATTTGTATGCTTTTTCTTCCTTGCCTTACGCCGAAGTCAGCAATATTGCAGCTATTTGACGGCGGCCTGTAAATTATAGTCTAGACAGTCCAGTGTCTGATATTATGAGCAACATCCCGTTGGGGTAGAATCACACGCAGTCTCCTACGAAACATAATGACGTTCTATTTGACTGATGTATTTCGAGATATTAATACAGTGGAAAGTGTGTTTGTTGATAAACATTTGTTTGTTTAACGCCGCACTCAGCAATATCCCAGCTGTATGACATCATGAGCTTCGATCCACGAAATTGGGATACGATGACATGCGTCAACCAAGTCCCGTTAGTCGACTATTACGGCAAGTATGGGTTGCTGAAGACCTATTCCAGCCCGGATCTTCAAGGGTCTGTTGCTAAATGCCGCCATCTTCAATGCTCAAGGTATATGGCATGTTAAGATCTGGGCCCACTTGCACCAAGTGATCTTAGCGCTACGACTGTTGTAAGCCTATGTTAAAGTATGGGAGTTACGATCATCTTAGCGCTAAGATCGCTTTGTGCAAGTAGGCGACGTTACCAACCATGCCACCGAGCCAGATCATCCATTCATTAAGTCGCATCTTACGACAGGCATTGGTTGTTGGGGACATATTCAAAACCACGGAGAAGTAGATCAGATCCTATACGGTCGTCTTACCTGTGCCGTTGTATTCATCGTCACCAGGGGCCGTCCAGGATAAGGTGAAGGTCTCGTTGACTGAGTCACAGTGCAACAACTTTAGATCTGTGATCCTTCCTGGAGGCGTCGTGTCTTTCGGCTCCCCTGTAAATACACAGTATCAGTTATCAAGTTTACCGTATCACTACTTCCGTTCATCGTTATATGTCACTTATTTTCTTTTGTTGACGGATGGCCCGGAAGAAAAATCTGCCAATGTGAGCCGTAGCATTTATTATGAGTGTTTAATGCATCATAGACGGTATTCAGGTTCACTCACTTAATAGAGTGAGTGAGTGAGTGAGCGAGTGAGAGTAGTTTTAGCAGTAATCCAGCAACATGACGGCGAGGGACACCTTAAATTGGCTTCGAACATTGTACCTATGTTCCTTCGGAATGGTGAGGCGCCCCACTCACTCAGTAGAACAAGTGCTAGTCTCTAACATTAATGTCCAATATATTGCGACAATAAGTTGTAAATAAAACTCTTGAAATGCACATTTAAAAAAGGTCTTCAAACACGATTTGAGGCTCACAAAATAAGGAATTATAGTCATCGCCACTTAAAATAGAATCTCGAAATAATCAGGAATCAGCAGTCAGGTGACAGCGAGGGGTCGTATTTAGCAATGAACTTGGTTAACTGCGTTCCAAATACTACATGTGCAGGTTTTCGTCTTCAGTTCGTGCTGGTAATGTACGTACGCTGCCAATATAGCCGCTCGATGCCACCTGACTGCCCATTCTTACCCGGATTGTAACCATGAGATCAAAACTCTGTGATAATGTTTACCGCTAGCTCATTGGATATTACTTAAGGGGCGCCTTTTCTCCTGTTTGTCATTACTGTATGTAAGATTCTTTATCGCAGGAATGGCTTGTTTGCACTATAACGTTTCAGCACACATGCAGCTGTCTTCAGTAATTATTCATCGCGATATTTCGTGATTCTATTTCAAGTGACGAGGAGTATAACTGCCATATTATCTAATGATTCATACTGCGGCGTCTCACCTTGAACCCTTATGTATTTGAAGGTCACACTTTGCAGATTTGATACACGCGACGTCAGATTTGCATCGTCAATGGCAATGACTCCGAAGGCGTAGGCACTGTACGGCCAGTCTCTGGGTACATTAATAACCACGCGCTGCTCGGAGCCAGCAGAGCTGGGAGTCAGGGAGCTGTTGTGGAGATCTTCCTCCTCAATTAGTTGTGCTGTGCTGAAGTTCTGACTCAGCGTCTTGAGACTGCTGCCAACTCGAAGCTCGTATCTGTCGGCTGTAAAACATTTTACTCACTTGCATCACTACATGAACGTCTCGAAACGATAGCAAAGACACATCTCTGAGAAAGCATACTATTAGGTCAACTTTGAATATAGGTCAGATTGTAAATGTTTTGTCTACCAAAAGTTGAAATATGATGAAATGGTTCAATGCATGTAGGTTCCAACTTTTACATACACTCAGACTGGATTACAGGTAAACGCAGGTACACCGAGACTATTCTCTCTATATAATGTATCTCTGTTTGTGGCAATGTTGCAACTTCAGATTTGTAAATGATCGAGACTGGGGTAGCAAGCCGATGGTTTATATTTTGAACAACGCCCAGTGTCGTTGTAATCCGAGGACACGCTGACAACAACGTCACCGTGTCTGACCATTCGAAGAAATTTAGTCGCCTCTACAACTAAAATAGTGATCGGGGTCTATGTAACATATTGAACCTGGCTCCACAAGAAAATCTTTACTAAGGTCGAAACATGTAATATATTCAATAAACTTTGCCGTCATGGTTACCTTTGAAATTTGCATACTGAGAAGAAAGGGGAATATCCTTCCTATGAGCAACGTAATAAAAATCTAAATAATGTTTTTTCATGGTCTTTTGTGGTGTTTGCCAAATATAGTCGCAACGACTGTTAAAATAAACTATCGTCGATAATACAATTTCCGACACTATGTAATGTTCATACATGTATATGTCTGTATGCTTTCCTATGATTTCTGTTTTTGTTAGATGTGAAAATCGTTACATTTTTAAAAGCTCTTAAAGCTAGAATTGCGTTTCTAATAAAAGGCTTCTTACATGCGAGGTTGACCGTTTTTATTTTTGCAAAGTGTGCAAAATAAAGAATACTGAAATCGCTTGATAGAAACGAATGTAACACAATGACCTGCAAATTAAAGTAACCTCATCTGCCGGTCAAATGAAAGTATACATCCATGTTTGATGTTAGCTAACAATTAATGATTAATTTATAGTGGTGTATTTGATACCGGTATCATGGGGATGTTTTTATACCTTACGTTTGCAGTGTTTCGGTGACTGTTTTCAGGCTTGTACTTTTTGTATTGTTTTGCTTAAATCCAATTTTCATGTTTATACTTTCGTTTGCCAAGCAGTTTATATACTTGTTATTCCTCTCCGGGCGGACTCTCTACCACTAGACCACTTGACCCCTGATCTGATTTAATGTACACAGAAATGGCCTGTGAATGATTCCGGGATAGAATAGGTCTTCAGCAACCCATGCTTGCCGTAAAAGGCGACTATGCTTGTCGTAAAAGGCGACTAACGGGATCGGGTGGTCAGGCTCGCTGACTTGGTTGATGCATGTCATCGATCCCAATTGCGTTGATCGATGCTCATGATATCAATCACTGGATTGTCTGGTTATTTACAGACCGCCGTCATATAGCTGGAATATTGCCCAGTGCGGCGTTAAACAACAAACGAAAAAAAAAATGTGCACATGTGTGCACCACTTAAACCACGAAGTGTTTCTTTAGGCCATACAGAACATGTGACCTTTAAACAGGAAGGTACTTAACCTGGTTTCACCCAGTCTCCTCTCCTTATATTACCACTTCAACTCAATTACCCGTTCCTTTATCAAGGTCATCTCCTGGCGCAGTCCAGTTTAACGTCACTGTGAAGGCTTCCGAGTCCGAGGATACTACCCCAAGGTCAGATATGTCATTGGGGGCAAACATGTCCACATCGCGATCATAACCCGTGACGTCCAAAGCTCCTGGCGACGCAGTTCTTGTGAACACTTCAGCAGGCTCCATCCTTACAGGCCGTGACGTATCTGAAAGAAGTTTCAGTATAATACTTAGAGTTTGTCCCGATCTCAAATAGTTCGTAAAACGGTTTTCACACTTAATGGAGAACATTTGATAGCTCAATGAGTGAACGGTATCAACAGCACAGTCAGCAATATTCCAACAATTCTACATTTGATCTGTTGGATACTTTAGCTCCTAAACATTAGTGAGTGAGTGAGTGAGTTGGGTTTAAAGCCTCTTTAAACAGTATTCCATACCGCATTCCATGAGATACCATGCCGCAGTTTAACATGAATACCCGACTCAGACACAGTTTACTGACTCCGAGCCGAGTCCTTGTTTTAGCCCCTTAATGCCAAGCGCCAGAAAGGGTAACAACAAGTACCATCTTTAACGTCTTTTTGACGCGGCCGGGGACATTTCGCTCTCCGGGTGGACGCTCTACCACCAGACCACGGAGGCAGTCAGCCGGGACCAGGAATACCAGTGGTTGACAACGTAACCCACAACCACCTAGTTCACACATTGTTACCACCTGGACCAGGTCGGTTCTGACGACAAATCTGGGGGTACACTGGACGTAGCCAGCCCCGGACTCACCACAAGGTGTGACTCGCAGGAGTCTGCCCGGAATTATATTACGATTGCAAATCGGATTTATGACACAGCCATTCTACATGTTTGTATAACAATGACGCCGAACTCTTTACACGTGTTGTCCCTGATCAACATTTGTTCAAGATATTCAAAGGACATACTCTGAAAGATGGAATAAGCTTCACTTCCTGAGTTCCCGGACACCATGACAACTGTCTGGTTTTCTATGGAGGACACACTGGTCTGCAAGGAGTACCGCCGGTTCCTCGTAAATTCAAGAAAGCTCGCCGAGTAAACACCGTCATTTGCTCGTGTATCGACGACTGCAAGTAAACGCAACTATTGAGTGTCATCAAGTAACATGATATCTTCAAAAAGTGAAAATGCAGAGTAAAGGTTGCATAAATTCGCCTAATTTTCTTATTCAAGAACGTAACTGTGTCAGTATTTTTGTCTTCCTCCATTCAGGAAATATTGTTACTCCAACCACTTTAATGTCAACTTATATGTACATACCATCCCCATTATCTTTCAGAGTAAGGGTAACACTTGGTTGTGGAGACCTGTCAACAGTCACTATCACAGAAGCGTTGATGATGGGGCTGTAGCCGATGTGGACGTATGTGTAAACGACGGGGAAGCTAACAGCGACGTTTACTGTCGTCGTGTCCAACCACGTTTCGATCTCGTATGGACTACGGTTCACCATCGGTAAGGACCTCACAACGACTATCACAGAATTCGGATCAGACCCAGAAACAAGAGATCTACTGTGAACAGTGAATGTCCATCGCCCTGGCTGAAACGACATTACAAGGTAATACAACACTGAACTGAGGACGAATTCCTGAGGCGGCCATCACACACGGTACACCGGTTTTAGATGTTTACCACTTTGGTGAATCAGTTACGTTGCTGCCCATTGACCATAAATATCCACATGCAAAGTGAATTGTTGCGCAATGGACTACCAGTAAATGTGATTACCTTAGCCAAGGGGAATCTCAGCCGAACAATATTTAAAACAGTGTCTGTACTGTACTCCGCCGAGCTCCGGTCATAGGTTACTCCAGCTGGGTCACTCACATTCACCTGCAACGGACACTCAGTGTGGTCAGTTTAGCGACTGTTGTCTGCTGTATCGCAGGGGTATTTGGCTAGAAAAGATCAATCGTAAAAGTCAAACGGCAAACTGACAATGTGATCCTGATCAAATCATCTGGGTGCAATTATGCAACAGCAGGCAATATTTGCTCAGAGGATTTCGGTCACGAGGTCATTTCGGTAGCATAAGCAGCCACCCACTTGTTGCGAGCATTGACACTTTGTTTGTTTGTTGTTTAACGCCGCACTCCGCATTATTCCAGCCTTGTGACGGCGGTCTGTAAGAAGTCGAGTCTGGACCAGACAATCAAGAGACTGACAGCATGAGCATCGATCCACGCAATTGGGATCGATGACATGGCACTGATACTCGGCACCTGTGATTTGAAGAGGGTTGGTTGTTTATCACAATTATTTGTTAATATTCTCGTCAACTACAAGATGTATTTCCCTTAATATTAAATAGAATAAGCCATGTTGGATAATGTAATACTAATGAACATATGGACCGTTACCGTGATATCGCTGTTAGGAGGCAGAGTGAAGGTGAAGAAAGTGTCGTTACCAACGGTGGAATCAATCTGGACACTATCAGTGAAGTAAGGCATGGACGATGTCAAAGCCAGGCCCTTCCTGAATAGCTGCAAGGATTTGCGTAAAACCATTACCATAATAACAACAATTACGCCGCACTCAGCAATATTCCAGCTATATGACGGCGGTCTGTAAATAATCGAGTCGGGACCAGACAATCCAGTGATTAATATCATGAGTATCGATCCACGCAATTGGGATCGATGACATGAATCAACTAAGTCAGCGAGCCTGACCACCCGATCCCGTTGGTCGCCTTTTACGACAAGCATAGTCACCTTTTACGGCAAGCATGGGTTTCTGAAGACCTATTCTACCCCGGATCTTCACGGGTCACAACAATAACGGAGACCACAGAAACAAAGTAGTCCCAAAGTAGTGCTCAGATTAAATGTAGTCAACATTTGAAAATATCAAAGATGACATCTGCTTTACAAAAAGCTGAAATATTTTCTGCCTAAATACTAAAGACCAAAAGCTAGCACTAACTTTGTTGTTTGTTGTTTAACGCCGCACTCCAGATATATGACGGTGGTCTGTCAATAATCGAGTCTGGACCAGACAGTCTAGTGATTGACATCATGAGCATCGATCCACGCAATTGGGACCGATGTCATGCATCAACCAAGTCAGCGAGCCTCACCACCCGATCCCGTTAGTCGCCTCTTACGACAAGCATAGTCGCCTTTTATGGCAAGCATGGGTTGCTGAAGACCTATTCTACCCCGGATCTCCACGGGTCCACTGACTTGTATTGATTAGCATAAAATATGATGTCATCATAAGGGGACATCTATATTTTTAGACAATTAAATCATAGTTACCAAGCAATGATACAACAAAATAAAGTTTTCAAAACTTTAATGCAGGAATTATAACAATTGTGTTGTAATATTTCACATTGCCATAGTCTAAGTCATTAGCATATCCACGATCACTTATAAGTTCTAACTCACTCAGATAGGTGTTATTGCAGCTAGTATCCGTTGTCTGCCAATTAGATGCATTCTTGTTTTTGCTTTTTGCATGGCACCACTTTTTCGGACAAGTCTGGTAGTGGGAATACACAGAACTTGGACTGATACACGTCTATTACGTCGCTAACATATGACGTCATTGCTTGGTCACATGCCTACTCGCGAAAGTCCTCAGTGTGGCAATTTCAGAGAAGTTTACAGAGCCAAATATGCATTTTGAGAGAAATGAAAGAAAGGTTAAAATGAAAAATTTCCCCAAAATAAGGAACATACGTTTTGAAACTAACAACAGTCATAAGAGGTTTCAGGTCACCGATAGTAACACAACATTCATGATGACAGCAACAACAACACGTGACACTGTATGATCCCTCTCAACGAATCAGTTGTTATATCCACTCCCTGGGAGTATACGACAATCAACAAAGATCCTGAGAGGGTGGTGCAAAGGTGCGCATCCCTACCCTTCCTCCCGCAACACACACACACACACACACACACAAACACAAACACACACACACACACACTTTAAGATCGGGTACGCACCATGTAGTGTTAACGTATTAAAACATATACAGGTAACCAGGTGAGTTGGTGATACGATTTCAACAAAAGGAATAGTTATTGCGAAATAACAAAATGCAACCTCCGTTTCCAAAATGATGAATCCGCGCTTGCTGCCCGGTATGCAAACGTAGCGAGGGTTTGTTTCAATGTGTACGTTTCAAATACTTGCCACAAGCGCTTACCTCAATCGTCTCTGTCTCGTCACACACTGACACATCGGGAAGCAGTCTGACGGCCGCCGAGTCCAGTGCAGTGGAATTCTCTTCCTCGGAGTAGAAACTATACAGCCCTCCTGTTGGGAACAGTGAAACGTGTCATGAAGCATGTATTTAGTGAATAGCATTCCCTTCACTTAGAAGCTAAGCTATCCATATCATTTTGTATGTTTTTCCTCTCTATGTTTAGCTTCAGTTGATATTATTGGGCGGAGGAAAATATAACATATGGAAATAAAATATTGACTTTCGTTGAGAATACAAGTGATCTGGTGTCTGTTATGTATTAAAACGTGAACAAAAGCGACAAAATAAATTTCTGCTGAAAGCCGTGTCCATTGTACCATAATCACTATGTCATTATAATAAACGTGACAAAACCCTTTCGATAGCCATAAGAAATCCCAGCTTAGAGCATTGTACGATTTCGACTGTATCAGGAGCATGTGTTTATGATTCACTTTCAAATAGTGATGATACCAAATGTTCGAGAAATGGTGGGGTATCCTGTCCCACCAGTGACACCCGTCACAAACGTATGCAATGGCAATTCTCGGGAACATATAGTGCAAGTAAAAACAGGGAATTGACATAATTGTTGTCACTGATGCGTCAACTTTGGAAATGTCATCCATATGTCCACCGTAAAACGTTTCGAAATCTTTATTGAGACCTTGAATGTTGAACCTTGATGAAGCACTTTTTCAGCAAGAGTCGTATGACACTCTTTGCAATCTTTCTCGAAAGATCAGATTGTACCTCCAAATCTGACATCAAATTCTGGAGCTGCTGGGATAGTGCTCGACAGAAAAGGAAAGTTGAATAATGGAAAGCTGGAGTCATCCCTCTTGTCATATAGGCTTGTAGAGAGCTTTTTCAGAGCTTTTCTGAATCTTTCTGCATAGGTCTGAATATGAAACAGATGGGGCGGTTTCATTTGTCTCCTTTATTTCTAGTTAAGGTGGCAAAATCAGTGGAAGGGAATTTGCTATTTGATAGTTTTTAAACTATATCAGATCATCGACTTACAAGTACCTGAAGCTTAAGTTACTTTCCTTCTTCAAATAACATTCCGAAAACATGCACCATAGATTTTCTATGAAACTGGAAACTGGAAACTCTATAATGTTAGACCGATGAGATTAGCGCAATATGAGAAACGCGAACATTAATTCAGGTCATTTCGAGAATGTAGGAACAATTTGTAAATTATTTGCTTGTGACTCCAAAGTAAAACTTCTGCACACGTTTAACAAGCTGCCTTTATGAAGTGACCCAAGCCCTCCCATGTACATCACTTTTAATATGACTCAATTTGTTTTAATCCGCGTCAGCAATATCACAGCAGAGACTAGCAGAAATTAGGGTTCACGTCCGGAATCAAACACACATGTATGAATCATTGTATCACTAATTGTATATGAGCACCTCCGGCGATGATGTCACTGTTTATGCTCACCTGTGGCAGCTGATAAATTGGCCAGGACCGCATCGGCAGCAACGCTGAGGGCGACAGAATGGACTACAACCGAGGCTCGGACGATATCCGGTAGGACAGTGGCAACATTTGGACCTGAGTTTTCACTGCCATCGGTGACTAGGACTATTCGACCCCCCTCGGGTGTATCCCCATCGGAGGACAGCAGCTATAGCAAGAACATGTACATTCGTTAACTTGAAGTCTTCTCTGTTTCAGTAAGCTGATGAAACCTTTACATTGGTTAATATGAAATTACGTGAAACATAATACCAAATTGAAAGAAAATACAAAATGCATATTTAGAGGTTAAGGGTTAGACACTAAGATATACCAGATATCAATGTTTAATTTACAGTATATCTTATGAATGGTGCACGATGTTTGATTTATATAACTACAGTAAACTACGGTTATAACGAACACGCTTATAACGAACTGACGGATAAAACGTACTTACTTTTTTGGTCCCGACTATTTGCTGTAGTTATGCTGTATATATGCTTGTAATGAACTACGGTTATAACGAACTAAAATTAGTAGTCCCTTTGCGTTCGTTATAACCATACTTTACTGTAACATGAAACCTTCATTCTTCCTTTACTTCACAAAACTGAAATGAGCACTATTAACCTGTACGAGTGTTTAGCAATATTTTTAATACTTCGAATGAAGAAATAGGTTAATCAAATTATGGACCTCAACAGCTTTGTGAAGTCCTTGGCCGATTCCAGTACCCCCCATGTAGTCGTCCTCGTCATTGGGTAGTCTTGCTGTCAGACTGGCCTTTACCTCGTCAGTCGCCAAATAGGTCATCTCTATCAAGATGGAGGGCGTGGACTCAAATGTTACCACGCCCACTTCTGAACCCAGCGGGAGGACGTCTTTGACGAACTTGTCCGCAAACTGGACCAGTTTGAAGTAACGGGAATTCTGTAGAATATGTTTGTGTCAATTAGATATACATGTATTATCAAAGGCATGAGTTATTGCGACATACAAAACACAAAGAGAATTGGTCAAACGAATTGACAGCCGTGGGTGCAAAATCATTCCCTGGAAATTATAACGTCTGAAGGTACGGTAACGACCAAAAGGCGTTTCATGAGGGCTGTCGATCTACAAAACCACGGAGGCAGTTCTTCTAGTACGATGTTCCGTTGAGAACGTGCAATGTTTATATTGAACGTCAATGAACGCCACCATGCATGGACGCATCATAAACTGGTGTAGGTGGTATTTACCATTTCAACAAACCCATGCTCATGGCAATTGCGTTAGTTAAGGTGTAGAATGATCTTGGAATTACAAATAATTGATCTTGACATTGCAAAACATAGATGTTATTGAATGTGTGAATATTTCTTGGAGGCTATGGGATTTTTTTAATGAGTGGAATTCTTAAAGCTTAGATTGAGCAAACAGAAACATCATACCTGACGCATAGATCCTGATAAGTCAAGTAGGAGCACTACGCGCCTCCCGCATGTCTGAACACCTTCTCGTGTCTCCTTTTTATCATAGACCAGGTGAAACCTTGGTGTGACGTCATCAAGTTCAACGGGCAAATTATTTTCCAGGAAGTCTTCATGATCTCTGATAATGTTCCACGTGCCTTGCCCATTGCATCTTCTGTTTTGTTCGTTTGTGGCGAGGTTGTTATGTCGTAAGCCGGGATCCGCTGCATTTGTTTCACAAAAGTCATGTATCTGAAACGAGAAATACCATCACAAATGAAAAAAATGGAATCCATACGCCAAGATGTACAGCCAGATAGTCGACTGAGTGTATTCCATTCTGCCGCCTAAAGGTGTCTGAATTTGCTGTGCAAAGTTATGTCCCTTCCCTGAGCCAGGACCCTATGATTCGCACTTCGTATTATCATTACTTTATCAAATTCATACATTCACGTTCGTATGCAAAGTCTCGTTTGGCTTTCCTGCCGCATTAAGCTGGCACTGTATTCTGCATCAGTTATTCTGTGTTATATCTAAAGCTTAGATTGAGCAAACAGAAACATCATATCATATATAGATATATATTCTTCACTAAAGAATAACTGATATAGCATAACTAATGCTATGTAATTTACTGAAGGAGAATACGTCAATTTCTCAAATATATATAGATAAGGGTAGTACAAAGGTAGTACATGAAAGGACGTACCGAATCCAGGTGAGGCATGTACATGATGGAGGCATTGGAATTCCCGTTGTTGTTTGCCATGAATACGCATCCGTTTGTATGCTGTCTTGGGTCACATGGTTCCCAATCTTTATTAAATGTCCCTTTTATTTCAGTTGTGCATCCAGTGGGTCTGATGACATCACCATCGAGGTACCAATGTGGGTATTCGGGGGGAGATCCGTACTCATCGAACACGCCGTACCGCAGATGAGCGAACTCGTGGACAAAGACACGACCTGGCACACAAAGAAAACAGGCATTTAAATGACATATTTGAAACGCATTGTCTTCATTTATCTTATAGAGTGTTGTAAACTCGTTTGGATACCTTTTGCTTAATGTGGGTACCATTTCATATTTAGTGTGTGGGGAGTGGGGGTGGGAGGGGATGTGTGTGTGTGTGTGTGTGTGGGGGGGGGGGGGGGGGGGGGGTTAGAGTCATGGTTTCTTTTCTTCATCTATTATCCTTAAGCTGATTTTTTTTCCACGTTTTAAATTCCACCTATGGAATGAAAGTTAAATTGTCTCACTTTTCACTTAACAAAATAACTGGTCAGCAGTGGTTGATTATAATAAAACAACCATTCATTACAACGCCATCAGTACCAAAAGCCCATTGTGTTTTCTTTAAATTCACAAAAAAACGGTCAACTTCACATGATTGTACTCAGTACTGCTTGAGAAATGCACTTCTTAATTACTAAGATTGTGGATGATGGACACATAAATAGCATAACTTGATGAACAAGGGAAACGTTACCAAACTGAAATTTGGACACGCTATGTCCAAACCTCGAAGAGCGTTACAAACTGGTTGAGAATCTATCGGAAAAATACAACCAAGACAATTTTCTGATTAATGCACGTGCTACGGTACCAAGATCAGTGGCAACTAGGTTTGAGGTGAAAACGCTTCTGCACTTGCAGCATGCCAACCAACAAAGATTCGGGTAAAAAAGGTAAACCGTCTTACAGTGACAAATAACATGCCACGAACAGAGAGAGTGAGTGAGTGAGTTGGGTTTAACGCCGCTTTTAACAGTATTCCAGTTATATCGCGGCGTGTCAGCTTAATGTGGGAGGAAAGCCCGAAGTGATGCAGGTCTCAGACGTTTACCACTTCGGTGAAACCCACGAACACGGGTATGGTGCTGACAAACCTAGAAACATAATCGGGGCGAACCGGGATTCGAACCCACAATCATAGGTTTCTGGCGTACCCAAGGGACGCAACTCTGCACAGCGAATCTGAACGTCTTAGGCGACTGGGCCACCCGTGCCCCCACAACAGAGATGACAAGACGTTGTTATGATACGTCCAGGAGCAACGCATGACCACATCGCAAGGATTTTTTGCCGTAGTGTAATGAGTCACCGTGGCCCGTTAAAGGCCATCTTGGCAGAAAGAGGCCAGGCCTAAGAGTGACAAATCTCCCGTCACCACCTCAGGACACCGCTACTTACGTATCCTCCTTATCTCAGGAATCGGTTTCTCACGGCGACTGGGGTTGGCCAGCTTGTAAGTCGCTGAACTGTGTCTAGAAAACCAGGTCGGTAAATATCATAGCTTACAGACTACTATGAGACGTAACGCTATATATATGGAGATCAAACGGACAGAATCACAGTATAACCTACTTGGGTCACCCCAGTTTCTCATTCTGTCAACCTCATGATCGAGAATGTAGTTGGGGGTGTAATGAACATAACGTCCTGGCTCCCTGCACTGCCCTGGTTGAAAGGTGTAAGGAGTATCGCCGTGAAGTGGATGTGGGCTGTCGATGCGGACATCAGCCTGCTTGAAGGTCTTCTGTGACACTCCCCATGTGCTGTTTTCTTTCCACGTGTCCGGTATGAAGATCACTACATCCCGAAAAAAGGCTCTCTTCCGGGTGGCTCTATACAGGTAGGGCGAGGCTTCTCTTATGATTGTCTGGAAAATGTAATAATGTCATGGCTTAAGTTATCGATTTCTGTTGTTTGACTAAAAGCGTCATAGCCCTTTCCATAATCGTAGAATGTGTTTATTAATCAGTATTAAATAGTGTCGATACCTGGGGTGCAGGAATGCTTATATGTAAATCTCTGCTGAAAGGCAAGCCAAGCGTCCACCGGTACCTGAACAAACTCGGGAATATATGGTAAAACAGTGTCAAAATAGGTAATTGCTTTAGCGTGGTCACTGATGCGTCAAATGTGTAAATGTCCTCCACGATACATTTTGAAAGCTCTACTGAGGCATTAAATGCGTATGCTGCACTTTGAATTCAAAGGTTCTGAAATGTAGACACCAAACACGAGTGGTTTTAGAAATATTCCAGCAATAGCACAACGGTGGAGATAACAAATGGGCTACACACATTGTAGCCATGTGGGGAATCAAACCCGGGCCTTTGTTGTGACGAGCGAAGAATGCTTTCACCACTAGGCTAATCCACCACCCCTTGGGTGAGATACAAACAATAACAGTTATGGAATATGGTTCACTCCCTGGGTGAGATACAAACAATAACAGTTGTATATTATTCTTCACTCGCTGGATGAGCTACAAACAATATTAGTTACGTAATATTCTTCACTCGCTGGGTGAGATACAAAAAATAACAGTTATGGAATTTGCTTCACTCGCTGGTTGAGATACAAACAATAACAGTTATGTAATATGGTTCATTCGCTGGGTGTGTCAGTGGAGGAAGGTAGTTCGGTGGTTGAGGGCACTGGTTCCAGGAATAGCGTTCTTGCCCAATACACCACTTTGACCCTAACTTCACCTAGACGGGTGGTGGACGGCTGGTCACGCCAAGCCCTGTGCATTAACATTGTCTTGCACAAAATTGAACAGACTTTAAAATGATGTGTTGCAGTTGCAATTAATCTGTTTTCATCTTGGACAAATTCATTGAGTTTAAAATGGTTCATTTACAATGTGAGGTCTATTTGTTTTGCACAAAGATGTTATATTTAATTGTACATTTATGGGTCTTGGTCACTCAGTTCATTGCATTTCAATACCTGTTGGAAAAAATGAATATAAATCATTGCCTAGAGTCAAATATGCCCAGAAGGCGGTGGCTCATGGGCCAATCCGGTAGATCTATTAGTCTTCCATTAATATACACAAAGAAAAAAGTTAAGCACACCCCTATTTCTGAACAATGACAAATGGCAAAAATCATGGCATAGGATGACTGACCACAGGAGCTGGGCGATACCAAGGTCATCGGATAGAACAAACATTTGACAACAAATTAAGAAGATATTGGTGAGTTGTGATTGAAGTTTACTGACAAAAACATCATGGTAACACAGGTACTGTTTTTGACCTTAGACAACACCTAAAAAAAGTATGGACCTGCAGGATTAAGTAAACGAGCTATGTTTGATGTTTCATGTGAAAATGTTCCTTAAAGTCTCTACTTGACATGACACGTGAAAAAGATCAGTAGAGGGTATAACCGCCACGTGCCGGGACGACGCATTCCACCCTACGCCTCATGCCTCCAGTCAGACGTTGGATCTGTTTATGGGTCAACAGCAACCACTCCAGATGCAATGCTGCTTCAAATTGGCGTAAATCGTGTACAGAAGGATCTCGTGCCTGTATGCGCCGCCCCAGAATATCCCAAACATGTTCAAAGGGGTTCAAATCCTGGCTCATTGCTGGCCAGGGTAGAGTCGTTATTGCATTGGCCCTCGTGTAATCAACGACTGCATGCGAACGATGAGGCCTGGCATTGTCCTCCATGTACTGAGGTCGAGTAGCAAGAGGGTGGTTGTCAAAAAGAGGAACGACGACTGGCCTCAAAACGTCCCGGATGTACTGAGCCCCTGTTAAGTTGCCCCTTAAGGTGACTAAATCCAACCTGCATTGATGAGAGATACATCCCTAAAACCTTTACCGAGGCCCCGCCGTATGCAACAGTCGGTTTAAGGTTCCTGGGGACGTAGACCGTGTTCCGGTGCCTCCAAACTCTCGTTCTTCCATCAGTGACGTGGAGCAGAAAGCGACTTTCGTCGGACCAATGGATACGTCTCCAAGTTCTCAGATTCCAGTTCTGTCGCGCAATATACCATGCTAAACGAGCAGCTTTGTGGTGGTCTCTCAACAAGGGACTAGCCCTCAGTCCTGCTGCTTTCAGCTGGTTCATGGCGGTTCTGGTGCTGAAACGAAGATTGTGCAACCGCAACTGTTTCAGACGAGTACTTGTTAAAAAGGATTCTCGGTGTATGAGACGAAGAAGGTCCCTGTCTTCGCTATGTGTCGTCACAGAAGGTCTTCCGGATCTGGGATAGTCCTGTACAACACCGGCCTGAGCATATTTGGCTACTAAACGGCTTACGTCAGTGTGACGATACCCCAAGTTCTGACCAATGGCATTACAAAACATTCCTACGTTATGCATGCCGATCATTTGCCATCTTGAGGTGTTTGATAATCGCCTTCGTGCCATGGTCACACACTGTCATGGAATAACTGTTTAAAACGGAGCTTAAGAAAGCAATTTTAACGTTTGGATATACTGCTTTTAGGGATACCAGAGGGTAGCATGTTGCACGGGCATACCTTGCATGGCACATGAGCTTTCTTCACGCATGACTGATTACATCATCTCGAGAAAACATAATTCTTCCCGTCATTATATCTTTCATGACCAAACAATATTGAAATATATTAGGGTGTTCTTAACTTTTTTCTTTGTGTATACTTCTGCTAAAGTTTACCACCCCAGTATCCTTGGTGATGTCAGTTGGAGACCCAGTGACACATAGCATTGTCTTCATGATACTCTGTGGTGGCTGGGAAGCTGGGATGGCGAACCTCCATACACTTACCATGACACCCCCAAAACAACTAAAACGTATGTTAGATGATAGTACATCAGAAGATGATACTGTTTCAAGAAACAAGTCTGACTTTTGGTCTCGATTTTTGGTGATCTCATCGTCTGATGATGGACCTTTTTTAATTAGATCCGTTTGCTCTTTCCAAATCAATTTATGGTATCGCTGGCGATGTTGTGGCCATGAAAAAGATACGATCTGGCTGTATCTTAGTGGAAGGAAAATCTGCTTCACAATCAGCTTAGCTGTTGGCTGTTAAACATCTTGTTTCTGTGCTAGTTACTGTATCAGCGCACAAATCACTCAACAGTTCAAAAGGCATTGTCAGGGACGCAATAACGTTGTCTTTCAGACATGTCAGAAGATGATATAGCTTTTGAACTGAAAGACCAGGGTCAAACGATTTACCAACAGGCAGAATGGTCAAATTGAAAAGTTAAACACTCATCTCTTTACCTTTACTCTTCCAGTTCCACCAAAATCCATCAAAGCGGGTTACTGTAATATTGGTGTGGATAAGAAAATCATACCGAATCCACTCCGATGTTACTCATGTCACAAGTTTGTGCATGGTGCCCAATCATGTACCAACAGAAAGAAATGGCCTCGATGTGGAGAATCTGATCATGATACATTAGACTGCTAAACAAATCCGAAATGTGCAACGTGCTTTTGAGATCACGTTGCATCTTCAAAATCCTGCTCTGTCTGGCAACTTCAACACCAGATAGTAAACATTAATGAAACATGAGAGGAATATTTCTTTTTCAGATGCCAAACATTTGGTAATGCCATCTACTACTCCAACTGCAGCTGTGTCATATTCTGCAGCCGTTACACCTACAACTCCAAAAAGCTCCAAGTCTGGTCACTCTGTTGAATGCCAGACAAACATCACCTGGGTTAAGATCATTGAATATTCACTTCTTGATACTCAATCTGTTGCATCTACCCAAACAAACTCTCCATCTCTTTCACCATCTCCCTCTGTGATAAATGCCAGCAAGACATTCAATTATTCACAGAAATCGGATCGAGTACCAAAAGGTCAACCTTTCAACAAATTTCAGACTCTAGAGAAAATGGATGTCACACCTCACCCCCGAACGTGAAACAACAGTCATTCGCTCCGGGCTAGGAACAGATCTCCTGTACTGCCACCTCCTGTAACATGAACACTAACTATCAACTAATTAAGTGGAACTGCAGAGGACTTAGGACCGATTTTAATGAAGTACAGTTATTAGTACAATAGTACTGTTTTCTGTCTTCAAGAAGCATATTTAACCAGACAGATAAATTTGATTTGCGTCAGTATAATGCTTACCATTCCTTTTCTCCACCCGGTGACAAAGCCACTGGCGGTTCCTCTATCTTGGTGAGATAGGGTATTATACATAGCCCTGTTCATCTTAACACTACTCTTCAGGCTGTTGCCGTCCGTCTAACTTTGCACCTTGCATTAACTCTGTGCTCTTTGTATATACCTCCATCTTCTACTCTTCAGCGATCTGAACTTAGTCTTTTTATGACCAGCTCCATAAGCCCTGCATAATCATGGGTGATTCTAACGGACATAACCCTTTATGGGGAAGTAGCAACACTAACACCAAGGGACACACACCTGAGGATTTCATATCCTAGTCTATGTGTTTTTAATTATGATTCCGACACATATTTACACCCTGCAACAGGTCGTTATTCAGCCTTGGACCTTTCTCTCTCAGATGCATTCCTTTAGGATGAAATTTCATCGTCAGTTCATGATGATCTATGTGGTAGTGACCACTTTCTTACAATTCTGACAGTCAATAATCCATCTGACGTTCCACCCTCAACACGGTGGAATTTGTCCACGGCCAACTGGACTCAATTAACAAGTCTATGTACTGATAAACTAAAACCTGAAATGTTCAGGAATATTGCTGACCCCATTCAGTTTTGTTTAGATGAACTGACCGCAATTGCCAATGATACCATTCCTAAGTCCTCTGCAAATCCATCCATGGTTTGATAGTTATTGCAATCATGCTAGAAAATGTAGGAAGAAAGCAGAGAAGTATTTCCGAAATCAGATCTAAGTTCTCGCTG